GAACTCATCCTGTGGTTATTTCCCCAGTACCAGAATGTATAATTGGGATAGATATACTCAGCAATTGGCAGAATCTCCACATTGGTTCCCTGACCTATGGAGTGAGGGCTATTATGGTTGGAAAGGCCAAATGGAAACCACTGGAATTGCCTCTGCCAGGAAAAATAGTGAACCAGAAACAGTATCGCATCCCTGGAGGGATTGCAGAAATTAGTGCTACCATCAAGGATTTGAAAGATGCAGGGGTGGTGATTCCCACCACATCTCCCTTTAATTCTCCTATGTGGCCTTAGCAGAAGACAGATGGGTCATGGAGAATGACAGTTGACTATTGAAAACTTAATCAAGTGGTGACTCCAATTGCAGCTGCTGTACCAGATGTGGTTTCCTTACTCGAGCAGATTAATACAGCTCCTGGTACCTGGTATGCAGCTATTGATTTGGCAAATGCTTTCTTTTCCATACCAGTTCATAAGGACTACCAGAAGCAATTTGCTTTCAGCTGGCAAGGCCAATAGTATACCTTTACTGTCCTGCCTCAAGGGTATATTAGCTCTCCAGCATTGTGCCACAACTTTGTTCGAAGGGATCTTGATTGCCTGACTCTTCCACAAAATATCACACTGCTCCAATATATTGATGATGTTGTGCTGGTTGGATCCAGTGAGCAGGAGGTAGCAAACAGTCTGGACTTGTTGGTAAAGCATATGCGCATGAGAGGATGGGAAATAAATCCAACCAAAATTCAAGGGCCTTCTACCTCAGTGAAATTTCTAGGAGTTCAGTGGTGTGGAGCATGCAGAGACATTCCTTCTAAGGTGAAGAATAAGTTGTTGCATTGGGCCGGTCGCACAACCAAGAAAGAAGCACAACGCTTGGTGGGCCTGTTTGGATTCTGGAGGCAGCACATTCCAAATCTGGGTGTGTTACTATGACCCATATATCAAGTGACTCAGAAGGCGGCTATGTTTGAGTGGGTTCTGGAACAGGTTAGGGCCCTTCAACAGGTCCAGGCTGCTGTCCAAGCTGCTCTGCCCCTTGGGCCATATGATCCAGCAGACCTGATGGTGCTTGAGGTATCAGTGGCAGATAAAGATGCTGTTTGGAGTCTCTGGCAGGCCCCCATAGGGGAATCACAGTGGAGGCCATTGGGATTTTGGAGTAAGGCTTTGCCTTCATCTGCGGACAACTATTCTCCCTTTGAAAGACAGCTCTTAGCCTGCTATTGGGCCTTAGTGGAAACTGAACACTTGACAACGGGCCCCCAAGTCACCATGCAACCGGAGCTGCCGATCATGAGCTGGGTGTTATCTGACCCCGGAAGCCATAAAGTAGGCCATGAACAGCAACAATCCATTATCAAACGGAAGTTGCATATACCTGATGGTGCTTGAGCAGGTCCAGAGGGCACAAGCAAGTTACTTGAAGAAGTTGCCTAAATACCTATGGCAGGTACTCCTGTTCCAATGCCTCCTGTTCTCAAGCATGTACCTGTGTTGTCATGGCGTGTGCCCTCTGATAGGTTGACTGAGGAAAAGAAGACTAGAGCCTGGTTTACAGATGGTTCTGGATGCTATGCAGGCATCACTCAGAAGTGGAAAGCTGTGGCATTACAGCCAATTCCTGGAAGAACCCTGAAGGACACTGGGGAAGGCAAGTCTTTACAATGGGCAGAACTTCGAGCAGTGCACGTGGTTGGGCATTTTGTTTGCAAGGAGAAATGTCCGGAAGTGTGAATTTATACTGATTAATGGGCTGTAGCCAGTGGTTTGGCTGGATAGTCAGAGACTTGGAAGGAGCATGAATGGAAAATTGGTGAGAAAGACATTTGGGGAAGAAGTA